ACCGCTAGTAATTGTCGAAACAAACAATTTTGATTTCCTTTCAAAATCTAACATCATTATTAAGTTAAATCTTATTGAAAACTTTCGGTTTGCTTTCGTATCGCAATACTTTTTGTTCTCCCTTTTTTGTGCTAGGACCTTTGTGTTTTATAACTGGTGCTGTTATGAAACACTTTCAAAAACGAAATGTTGTCCAAGTTTCACTCAATCCGGGTTTTGCTTTCAATTTTATCAGCCACACAATTTTTGCATTAAAACTTACACAATGCCTTTAAAGGAGAACCCACGCACCGTGGATGCAGCTTTTGAGCCAAGTCACCATCGGTGTCTAGACATTGGTAAACAAAGGACAAAAGACTTTTTGCAACTATAGCTAAAGAACAAAAGAATCTGGGAACCCAACCAAAAAGTGCGTTGGAAGTTTCGCAAGGTTTTTTTTTCAAGATTTTTGCTTCGCATATTTGCTCTAATGCACTCCAAAAGAATAATTGCAATTTATTTTGAATGCTACTTTCAGAAATCAGTTTATCAGAAAACATAGAGATACGAAAGAAAACCATACATTTTTTTTCAAACAGACAAAATGGTTGTAACCGTGTTAAAAAGAAAGTGCACTAACATTTTTTATTTTAATGAATGAATACCTTTTTTAATAGGATTCATAAAGAAACTGCGTTAAAATATTTAATTTTTGTTGATGATAAATTTGGACCCGTCTTTGATCTCTATTATAAATTAAACCAATTCGCGATTTCAGTTTGTTATTCAATCTACCGACTCGTCAGCCTGTATTTTGGCCATGCCAAGGCATTCACCGAGCAATTTGCAATTTATATTTGGTTAGCCAGGTTGTCAAGGAGTCGGCTGCAGTTGAAACGTGAGACAATTGCAACCAGTTGCAGGCACACACAGGCACACGGGTACAAATTAGTTAAATTACAAGCGCTTGATTAGAAAAAGTGGCTTTGGCTGTTGCATCTTCTACTTGGCATCTCAAGCACTCCACTCTTTCCTTACCAAACTGCCAGCTCTTTTTGCAGACTTTGCCGCTAACGAAGCTCAATTCGAGCGCCAAATTGAAATTGATTGTGACATTTGATCATGCGTTTGCCTTTCTGCCTCGCTCTCGGTGGAAAAAGGCGGCAACAAGACGATGGAAAAAGCAGACAGCCTACTGTCTTTGGAATTTGTGCGGAAAATTGCTAAAACGGTAGGCGCGCAGGTGTGCCTCGTTTTTCTTCTCTTTAGCCATTTTCATCCTTTTTGCTGTGGGCTTTTCTTGGCTGATACGCACTGGATTAATTGGACGGATGTGCATTGGGTTGATGAGTTGAGCCGAGACAACTGGAGAGAAGCAGGAAACTGTAAGGCTTAAATGCAAGCTGGTGGGTCTCTCTCTGTCAGAGATTAAGATGAGTTTTATTTTACGGCAAAAAAAAAACTTTAAATTGCTTCGGTGTTAGGTTGGCTGGCTGAAAGGAAAAATGTTGGCTGTTAATATGGTAATCCGAGCTGGATGGAAAATAAGCGTGGCCTTTAAGGAAAAACTGCTGCTTAAAATTATTCAAGCAGGTCAAACGTGAAATGAAGAAAGATGATTAGTAAAAAATTAAAAGTATATTAAGTAGGGTAATAAAATTAAATAAGCTATTCATTAAAAAACCTTTTTTCATCGACTCATCATATTACATTTCAAAATTTCTGCCAAGGCATTACCCACATTTTATATGATGTATCTGAACTACTTACCCGCTCTCAAGAACTATAAATATGCAAAGGCACTCAGGTCTTCGGGTTAACCTTACGCCTAAGCTCATCTGGAGAGCATTTTAACTGGCAAACCTCGAAAGGGGGAAATCCCCACATGAATAATTACAGCGCACGCAGTTCATTTAATTTCACTTGAGAGGGTGGAAAACCCTTTTGGCAAACGAAACGCGCGTGGCACATGAATGAAAATATTTAATGAAGAAATTTATAACAAACTTTTGCAAATGGCAGCAGACTGCTGGAAATGTAAATGGCTGTAGATGAAGAAACCACTAGGGTGGTAAAAAATTATGAACATTAAATGTAAATTAAGCTAATCAATTAGGTCCGAATTGCGCTTAAGATTGGCCACGCTTAAGCCAATGCAGAGAAAACATTTTAATTTTTAGGAAATGTTATAATATTATTAATTAGAATATTTATAAACTATAATAAATAAGTATGAGTAATGAATGATACTCTTCCATGCAATATTATAAGTTCTCAAGACCAACACCTTTTTTTTATTATCTTACAATATACACTATAAACTTTTCGCAGTGCAAACAAGTTCAAAGTACGCTATACTTCGGACTTCTGGCCCATTTGCTGCCTAACCCAATTAGCTGAGCCAGGCGAAGTCCTCCATTCCATTCCTCACCCCTCAGCCGCTATAAATGACCGACATTTAAATTGTGATCAATTGAGGAGTCGAGTCTCCCCATTGCCATAAACCCTTTGAATCCAGTGCTGTAGTATCTGTTGCCATTGCATAGCTGAGTTAATGATTGGAAATTAATTTGTCAGCACGGGGGAATGGGCCAATGGGATTACGCAATTGCGTAGACAAATTGCTGGCAATTAGCAGGGAGTTCGAAGACGAGACGACAAAGGCATTGTTCGTGAGGCGATTCCTGGGTGATTCCCATAGTTCAGTTTGGGTAGATGAGTCTCTAACTCCTTTTCCCCTCTTAACGGACAATGGCTATCGATCTGTGTCAGGTGTGGAGTCAGGGTATTGATGTGAATTAAGTACTTGATTAATTGACAGATGGGAAATGTCTATTGGGAAAAGGATGAAGTAGTTATCACCTTGAGAGGTGATAAGTCAAATGGCTTTTTTTTAGTACGAAATGTTTTGTGCTTGATTTAAATGAGTGGTTTGTAAGCTAAGGTATTTGAAAGATTCCTGAAAAATATATTGAAACGGTTATAATACCATTATTAACTAAAGGATTTTAATTATATGCAGTTTCATACTTTAAGTCTTCCCATTCCCTATTATTTGAAAATTTTCAACCTTTTACCAACTATAAATACCCCTTCTTTTATGCCATTAATTGCAACATTTTTAATGGTCCCCATAAACGAACCGAGAAATTCCAAGCAGAACAATAAAAAGGCGTCACCGCCAACGAGAACTTGCCGCCGACTTGAATGGCCTAATCAAATGAAGTACTAATCCTTGGGTAAAACCGCGAACAGTTTAAAATGATTGTTAAGTAAATTTCCCAAAACAATTACGATGGTCTAGTGCACACTCAGAGAAAATCCGAGAGAGAGTTTAAGAAGGAGCGCAGGCGCGAAGAGAGGAGATTTATTCTTGCATGCGATAAAATTTGTAGCATGCCAAGGATAAAGCATGATTAAGGACGAAGAACTGGCGCTTTACATATGTGTAAATTGTTAGCAGATGGCCATTGAACAAGACAAGGCAACAATAATGAGTTGGCTTTTTCGGACAGGTGAGGGGGACAACTTTTTGAAGTAACTGAAGAAAGGATAATCCACTTAGGAGTGCCTTTAGCTCTGGAGCATGTGGGCGATGTCCTGGCGAAAACAATGTTGCATACACTGTTAAAAACTTGTTTAAAATTTAATTAGTTTCTAATTTTTTTTGTTGATTTGAAATAGATTAGTTAGAAGTAAGTGTACAGCTAAAAATCGATAACTAAAAATGTATTTGAAATATTTACTAAACCTTATCTTCCTTTTCTTAATATAATGTAATACCATTAAATTTAACATAATTTGTATTTTTAGACTTTATTATGAATAGTTTTGAAGAAAGAATTGGTAGGAAGATAATTTTACAATTAGTTTTCCCTGTGTACACTTGGAAAACGGGGAGAAATTGTTTTATTACCCGGGCGAAGCCGTTGAGTGTGTGTTGACTGAAAACAAAGGTGCGCACAATAAATTACATTGTTACACGGAAACTTACGACCAGGACACGGACACACACCGTGCATATCTGTGCATGCATATACGAGTACGAGTATAGAAGAGGTCCTGGCAGGAAGTCAGCAACAAGCGCCGCGTTAATGAAAAGGATTTCTCCGGCATCCACATGTCTGCAGTTAGTTGTTCTGCCACCCGGACTCCCATTTTCAAAACCGAACTGAGCTGAGCTGAACTGACTTCCCTCTTTGGGTTATTTAATATTTAAACTTCGGCCAGACGGGGAGATTTTCTAGTGCCGTCTTTGATGTCCTCGACCCATTAGTTGAGGTCTCAACTTTTGCATAAATAAACGCCTCAGTTCATTAGTGAGTCTCGCCCTCAGCATCTCCCGATTCTCAATTGCAAAAAGGGTTTCCCTTTGGGGTCTCTGCGGTTCCCAGAGCCATCGGTTACAGTGGTTAGCTTTTGGGCCCAGAATGCGTGAAAGTGTCATAAGCTCGTGTAGAAGGGAAGATTTTATGACGGACGAGACCGCAGTTACAGCTGGAAAATAGTTGTTGGCTTGTTGTTCTGCGGCATCTGCTTAAAGTTTAATGATTTTTTAATCGATTTTTCAAAAGGGGAAAGGTAAGAGCATTCCTTTACCATAGTATTTGATAATGTTCAGTTCAAGTTAATTTTAACTAGAAATGCCCAGGAAATGAGTACCTAAAATGTATTTAGTTAGTAAAGAATTGATTAGTATTCCGAAACATCTCTTAAATATTATATTATCCCGAACACTAGCTTAAGCAAATTAAAAAAGTTTTATTCAAAACTAAACAAGAAAGGATGATTACTAAAATCCTATCGATACAAATGCAAAGTATTCTTATAGTTATCTTCCATCTCAATTTTTACTTAACTTTGCATTAATGTGTATACCTGTGTGTAACTCGATCGCTAATTTATTTTAAAAGAAGTACCCTTTTATTTCTCGCTTTTCTGTATTGAAAAGAATATCTCTTTGAAATTGTTTACATTTTAAATACCTTACCACAAACTAAATATAGCAGTCTTTGACTCTCTGGCAGCTGATATTTCCCCCATTGAAAATTCAGTCAAGAGCCACAGGTCAAAATTTTACAACCCCCAACCTTGTTTTCCCCGTTCGGCCGAAGTATTCCGGACCCTCCTGGCTCGATCCATGGGTTCCATGGTCAGCTCCCTGCAGCGTCCTCCACTTTTCGTGAACATGGACAGTGTGCATGCGCAGTTTGTGCGCGAGACGATCAGCAGCAACAAGGTGGTCATCTTCAGCAAGAGCTACTGTCCCTACTGCAGCATGGCCAAGGAGCAGTTCCGCAAGATGAACGTGAAGGCGACGGTTGTCGAACTGGATCAGCGGGATGATGGCAACGAAATCCAGGCGGTTCTTGGCGAGATGACGGGATCGAGGACCGTTCCCCGGTGCTTCATCGACGGAAAGTTCGTGGGCGGCGGTACCGATGTGAAGCGCCTCTACGAGCAGGGCATCCTACAGAAGTACTTCCAGTAAAAATATAGGGAAGGTTATAATTCATGATGATTCTTTTAACTTTTCTTGATCTGGCCTAATACAAAGATTGAAGTTGGCATATAAAGTTGTGGTTTTATTTTATTAATTATGGAGAAACTAAGCAAAAAATCAGATTTTAACTACGATATACGAAATATATAAGGTAAAGTGTATCTAGGAAAATACAACAGCAAATTGTATTTCATTTTCATAAGCACTAAGATTTATTAAGAAAATTTTGTAAATTATTGTGCTAAAAATATAATAAGTTATGTACATTTTTTTAAGTTAGCACTCTAGTAATTTTGTATCAATTAGGAATAAAGGGATTCAGGGATTACTACATTTTTGTTCTAATATTTTATAAACTTGAAATTTGACCAGAAACAGCGTTTTTCTCAATAAAATGAAATTTTTTCAGCTCTTTGCTTGTAATTTCTTACAACAATATAAAAAAATGACAAAGGTAAGGAAAACTGCAGGCGGATGCACAGAGCGGCTCTTTATCTGCTCAACATGATGCTTAAGTTGTTCCTGAAAGGGATCACAGCTGTCTGAAGGCGGGTTGAAAACAATTAAGGCGCGGGTCGCGTCGAAGGCTGAACTGAATGCGCTTTCCTTTCACCTGCAGTCGGCAGTTGCACTTCATTGTTTTCCTCCATTCTGAAATCCTTTTCCCACCTTTAAAGTTTTCAATCCATTTGTATATGGAAGTAGTAAAATCAACGTGAAGAGGTCAAGACTCGTTTCATTAAAGTTTCAGCACTTCAACAAACCATTCCCAAAGGGAATGCAACTGAGTTTTCATATGCTGAATTGTATATTTATCGTGACTCAGACAAATAGCTGGCAAAAATCGTACAAACGTAAGCTTAAATTGATTGAAAATTCCACAAATTGCTTGTAATTTGTTTGTCAGCTTGATTCCTTGCTTGCTTTTTGTTTTCAAAAATGACTTTAACCAGGTCGAGTTCAGTTAACGGCCGCGCAAATAAAAATTGAACGCAATTCACCTGGGCAAATGAATAAAAAAAGACACGAAAAACGTGTCGTATGCGTAATTTGGCTCATCGATTGTTTTTGGGGTTAAATCTCGCGTAGGCAGCGTAAAAAGGATTGATTATGGAAATTCGTGATCTTAACCTTTTTTCGGTTGATGTGGGATTTGTTATTTGATAAATTTAGAAGAATATTTTGTTTTGTTTTTTTTCTTACTTTGGGTTGGCTTTAAAGAAATTCCATAAATACCAATTGGCTAACTTCCAAAAAGGCTAAACATTGTTTCATTCAAAACTATTTGTAGAACAGGTGAAGACTTAAAGTAATAAATATATAAATAATACTCTAACAGATGTGCTTCTAATAAATTTTAGTGTATTTAAATTTTTTTGTTTCTGAACTTTTGCGTGTTAAATCATTAATACGGAAAATTTACAACTGCATGGAACCGACAAGTTTTTACGGTTCCAAACGCTGGCCATAATTACTTTTTCGTTATTTCTGGACGACGCGTTAATGTAAGCTAAAGGGAATACAAAAAAGTGTTGTAGTGGCATATAACTTTGTTTTAATTTGTTGTAGGATGAATGCAATTGCTACCGACAGCAACTGACGGACTGAAAGGATGAGACTTGCTGTCGGTGGTGACTAACTCAATAAAAATGCATTTGGCATTTTGATTGCGATATTATCTAGTCAGTGGGACAACATTGTTGCCAGGCTTTTATTTCACTTTACCAGACATTTTTAATGGCTAGCTTAATTGGGCGTGGCCAACAACAATGTATTCAGCACTCAATCTTTCAATTATCAGCATTTTAAGTTCCACAAAACGAACAATTTTCGCATGAAAAGAATTTATTAGAATTTTCTTTGACCAGACAAGTTGCGGGCTTGAATAGTTTTCGCCACTTTTGCCCCTTTTCCCCACTCCGTAATCCCGAATTTGCGACAGCCAGACTCCTGTTAGACCATCCATATATCATATAGTTTCCACTAACTCTGTCTGCTCCACTGCATGTGCATGTGGAAGCGAGCTGGTGAAACTCCTTCGCCTTTGATAGACGATTTATTAAGCGTTTTATTATTAGTTTTCCCGTTCGGTGGCTTTTGTGGCATTTTTGATTACAAATTCCAGGGCATCGGAGTCTTGTAATTACCAAAAACGAGCGGAGATTCTGTTGGAGATTATTTTTCTGGCTGATGGAAAAATAGATGGGAGTTTAAAGTGTTTACTTAAGCACTTTGCTAATTTAATTTCTTAACTTAGTACAAGTGCGTATTTGTTTGTTTATTTTACACTTGATTTCTTTATCCTATTATTAATGCTTCGAGGTTTGGACGTGGACAGCCTTTCATATTTTAATCGCGTATCTTATGACACCCCATCAGTCTTAAAACAAATTTTGACTTCGGATAGAGTACGTGTTAAAATTTCTCAAAACGACACTTGCACGTAACATGTCATGCCAACATATAATTATATTATTGCTGTATTTCTTTGTTTTTACACATGCTAACCCATACTGTGACTTTGAGCCAGGTCCAGGTCTCAGTTTTGACCATGGCCATGCAACTCAGATCTTTTCGCGCTGATAAACTTTGTGGGGTCTGAGAAATACATTTCCACTGGGAGACTGAGCTGAATAATTCATTAAATAAATAATAACATATAACATTGATTTGTCACATTCAAATATTAATGTTACCCAAAAATTCAAAAACATACTTATTTTCCAGAAATTTGTGTAAATTTGTTTACCTTCTTCAGATATTTATTTATATGATTACCTATTTTTATTTTGTTGGACACCTGTAAATATTTTTTAAAGTGTAACACTGCAACAGAAAAATAACAGCAGCAATGGGGACGAAACGCACGTGTTAACAAGGATGCGATAAAAAAATAGTAAAAGTGGAGTGAAGTGAGGAAATAAATGCCAGAATGACAGGAAATATGTGTGCGTGACATTGTTACTTGGGTCTGCGAACCGGAACCAAAAGTGGGTGGCTCCCATTGTCGCTCTTCCACTGCCTGTAGGATGTCAACACGAAAGCAACAGGACATGTATATACTTAATTATATAGAATATATTCCACCAACTTGGGGAATGTCTGCCAGCATAGGTAAAAAATTTCACAAAGTTAATTCTAATGCAATGAGATTGCAATGCGATTGTATTTATAAAAGCTAAGCAGTCACATAAATATGCTCCCAGTTTTATCTATGTATATGTATATGTGGTATAAATTTATTTGTGAATAATAAACAAAATAAATAAATATTGTGATACAAATCCAAGCAATTATTTATAAGCCAAAATAGTTTTTCTGTTTATTCCATAAATATGAAAATTTAGAAAATTCAACTGACAACCAACCATAAATTTTGAATAAGATGCTAAAGTTGCCACGAAACTTTGTCGCTAACTTTGCTCCCAAACGATTGCCAGTTTTGAAATTCCCCGTGGGATCATCGACCCATTCTCCGGTCCACATTGAATCGTAATTTGATACCTTGCGATAGCGTTTTAGCTAAACTTTCGGGACCCATTAATCAATTAATTAAGAATTTTATGAATATTTCACGGGGGAGTGAAGTCCTGGCATCATCACAATCGTTTGGCTTTTGGCCATTATCTGGGGAAACGGAAATTTTCGAAAGGAGTTTACCGCATGAATATTTTAAGGAAGTGTTCCAGACAACCGGGAAAGAGTTTTGCCGGCATAATCGAGGGGCCCGTTGACGAGATAATAAGTTGAGGCCGGCAGAAAGGGATAATGAGTTTGAGTTGATGAACAGCCAACTTTCCGAGGAATAAGCAATAAGAATATGCGAAGAAGGGCTGCGAAGAAAAAAAAAGAAAACTTTCCGACTAATTAATTAAATGCGCTATAAAAATGTTTGCTGCCGTTGGTCTGGCAAAAGTTGAAGCATGAAAAATGGGCGTTTGGAATTTGCCAGCGAAAAGAAATGGCGGCAAAAGAGCGCACGGAAAATGTTTAAGTTATGCAAAAATGTTGACTGAAAAAATTATGCAGGTGGGAAACGGTTGGTTGTTTGACTTTCCACTGTATTGACATTTTTTGTTTTGTTCCATCACGATAAGAGAAAGTTTTAATGAGTTTGCCAAATGCCGCTCAATGCTTGGAAAAAGTCTAAATGATTAGTTAGCCGTTGAAAGTTTCGAGTTGAGCTCGTGTTTGTCACGATTAATTTATTAGAGTTTTATTTTAAGCATACAAGTTTCTTGGGTATTTTTTGATAGGCCGTATTTTTATTAAAGGAAACCCCAGTGAAATTTTTTAACTTTATTTCATTTAAATTAACTAAAATCACAAGAAATGTAGTAAAGCTTAATCAACAAACTGTAGTTTATTTTTAGTTCTCAAACCCGCGCAATGTTTCGAGTAATGGATATCCTTTTCTGCAATTTATTCAGAGTTTTTGTAATGCTATTTAGGTTAAAAAATGAGGTTTTAGCCAACATCCTTGAAGAGCTTCAGGTGTCTAGTGCAGATCCCTTACCTCAGCATTCTGCTTACAATCGCTCATTTGTCAACATCACTCACAATAGCTGTCAATGGCAAGGAACTCTGGGGCATTTCGAACGATATTCAATGCATTCCGCTTGCTGTTGCACATATATAGAGTCACACCCCTAAAATACACACACACGCCCAAATGTACCTGCCCCACACATTAATGGTCAATTTCATTCCAATTTGATTGTATAGGATTGTATATGTCTGGGCCAGAGAAGAGTAAGCCGGACCTCTTTCAAATTACCACAGCCTCCTGTGGAGCACACCAAATGCGCGTTCGGTTTACAGGGACTCCAAGTCCTCTCCCTCCTTTCCCCCTCCCCCTTTTCGCCCTTTTCCCCCAATCCCCATCATCCCTCGAAGGACCTCATGTGGGTTTTGTCAAATTAGCGCATCGTTTGTTGTGTATTCCTTTGGGCTCTTCGGCAAAACGAATGCCAGTAGTAAGCGCCAGCGAGAAACTTGTTAATTTTAAGTCGAATTCCTGGCTAGCCATTTTCTGGGCATTCGCCACTTGGCTTGAAGTGGCTCACAGTGGGGTTCGAAAATTTAATCTGTAGATGGGCATGCAAATTAAAAAATCACTTAGAGATACATGGCTATAAATTGGTTTGAAAATTAACACAGTTGGAATTGTGCTTAAAATTTAATGACTTTAAGACCATCAGAAAAAGTAATAAGAAGCAGCAAAAAAATTTTTGTTAGGATAAACCCTTCTTGGATTAGGATATATTAAAATTCAAGATGGGTTTCCTTAAAAACGTTATAGTTATAAATCTTTGACCCCCCTACAAGTTTTTGAAGTTTCAGAGTAACAGACATAAAACTTCAATTAACAGGCCCAGTTGAATTGTTGAAATCTCTCCTATCTTGCAGCTGCCAATACAATTTGGCCCACACCAATCGAAAGCTAACTCTGAGCCAACATCGTTGGCATCCAATGGGTAACGTTATTTGATGTCCTCGAACATCGAGCCGTTACAATTCATCAAACAAGCGAATGGATATTACTTCATCGAGTGCTATATTAAATACTTGAACCGAGCGAACAACGAAATTGTCAACGAACAGCAATCGAAACGACCTCAAAAGGGGGCGTGGGCATGGACATACATGGACGGGGGCGAGAGGGGGCTTAGGTAAAAGTGACTGCTGCGAGCTTGAAACAAAAGTAAATTGCAATAAAAGTTTTGTAATTGACAAACGGACAACAAACAAAACTCCACTTCAGTGGTCGTTTGTCGTTGTGTGCTGGACAGAAGCTCGGCCAGCGGATGGGATGTGGTTAGGAGGCCAGAGGGCCAAATTGGTGGGCAGAGGGGAAACCAGGGAGGGGGGATAAGAGGGTGGCAGTGGGTTAACTGAAGGATGCGCTGTCGGGGGCTAAACAACTGGCGCTGGCATCAACAAAAACCGATTTTCCAAAAAACAGGAAGCAACAGCAGCGACAACGTTGGGGAAAATCAGAGGCCCAGTTTGGACCACGTTATCATGCACTCAAACAAAATAAATAAATAGCTGCATATGTGAGACTAAAATTTAAATAATTTATGTCATTGTTTGTTACATATTTTCTGTTACATTTTGGTATTGAAATATGTGTGATTGGTAGTGGTTTATCAAAAGCGTTCGAAGTTATAAAAAATAAGATAAGCAGGTTACCCAAGGAATAGGAAAATATTTGGTATATCTGAGCACCAACAGAACCCAAACTTGGAATTAGAAATGATATATCAGAAAATAGTTATCAGAAATGTTGTGTACTGTGGTTTTTGCTTTCTAGGGTTTGGCTTTTAATATCAATTTTTGGAACACTGTTAACCACGTATTAATATATTTTTAATTAATGCATACCCCCGTTTTCTCTCTGTGTAACCGCCTACCCCTTGACATGTCTGTCTCATCATTTCGTACATTTGCGCCCGCATATTGACTTTGAGCGAGGCGCACAAACGATTCACAGATTTAAGAAATAAAAGTTTAGTGCTCCTGCGAACAAATCTGTAGCCTCCAATGCCAAAACATCCAAGCTACCCAGACTAAAACACACACATACACAACAACACACACACACACACGAAACATCGATGTGTTGTGGGTGGTGGGCCCTCTGTCAAAGCAAACAAAAGACGCGTCTGTGGTTGTTGCTACCCCTACCACCTTTTGAAAGGCACACTGAACCACCCACTGAGCCACCCATCAAGCCACCCACTTTGCCGGCGGTTGTCGAACGCAAAATGTCGTCACTGGTTTGGGGACTTTGACTTGTTGGATCTGGATTTGAATAGGAATCGGAATCGTAATCGAAATCGGAAGGGATCGGGATGGATTCAGGGATATTCTGGGCTGCAGGGCTCATTGGGCACGAGTAAATAGTATGAAACGATTTGGAACCAAGGCAATAAATACTGATAAATACAAATGATGATTAAGCATTTATAACAAATGTTATGTTATTGATATTTGAAATATAATAATAATAAAAGTAAAGTAAAGTATAGAGTAAATAAAACATATAAATTAAAGCCAAAATAACTAACATTTCATTGGGTTAAACTTCTCAGTATCAGAACATCAACCTTATTCTTTTGCAGTAAAGGGAAAAAACTATTAAGAAAATGCAATTTAAAACAATTTGTCAACTACTCTGGAAACGCAAACCACCGGGCAGAGAAATCCAGAAGGGAAACAGAGAGGGGAAACCGAAAATGTGAAAATGAAAATAATAATGAAAGAATGAATTATGAACTTATACGCGGCAGACCCGAAGGACCTTGCCAAGTGGAACTCGGACTACCAACTACCAACTACCACCCACCATCCACCCACATCCACACCATTTTGTGGGACGTGAGTGGAAAGCAAAAATGGTGTGGCACAAAAATGATTGTGTATGTTAAGTTTGGCACGCGCCACGCCTACAATAAACCGCAAAAGTCAAAAGAGCGACTTGGTTGTGGGAGGAGGGGTGGGGGTGGAAGGGCGTGTGGGTTATAAAGATGGAGAGAGATAGAGTGGCCACAAAAGTACGCAACATATTTCACAGTTCGGGGCAGATGGCAATGGGAAAAGGACAAAACAGACCCCAGGGAAAGCGCCACTGTCGCCACACGCCCACACTCAAAAGCGTGACTGTTACTTGCAGAATCCCCGAGCACCCAACACCCCCTTAAAGCCCAATTTTTCGGCCCCACAACCTCCTCCATTCTTACCCTTGAACCACCCCCTCCATTGGAAGAAGAATTTTTGAATTATGAGCGCTCTGGGCGTAAGTTATACTTAACTACATGCTGAAAAAGTTGCTACGCTCTGTGTCATGTTTATTGCGATTTCATGTGCCATTACACTCACCAGTGCGAAAGGGAAGGAACTAGCGGGGGGAAAGAGACAGAAAGCCAGCCTCCGAAACAGCCTGCTAATCTGTTGATAAATAAACCGAGTGTACAACTTGATGGCTTCATAGCACCAAAAGGTACACACAACAAAATACATTATTCTTAAAATATATAACTGAAATATAAGTGTACAGTTCTCGTATATGCATAAGTTATTAAAAACTAATTTTAAATCTGTTGAACATAGACAAACAATTATTTAAAAAAAAATACATAGTTTTCAATAAAATTATTAAAAATTCTTTCCTAAGATGAATCAATCAACATTTTTTAATAGTTTGTTATTCCTTACGACCTTTACAATAATATTAAGAAAGTTTTAATCCAGTAAAATAACTGATATAAATTTTAATTAAATTTTCTCTGTACAATCGTCGTTAATAAATGTCAAAGAGTTTTTACCTGTGCCAAGGCCCCACTTTTTCACACCCCTCAAAATTTGTACATGCATCTCACGTCGCTCCTGCACGCAAATGTGACCAGAGTCATGAGAGCTGCCATTGTTGTTTTTGTCATTCATCACGCGGAGCGAGATGGGACTATATGTAAATAAAGTATTGTCACTTTGACACGTCTGATGCGTGCCAATTTTCTCATTTTTACCCCCGCTGGTCAACTTTAAATTGTTCGCCTATTTCCGGGCTTTTATTCGATATCTTATTTATTCATTGTAAATGTAAAGGTTTCTGGTGCAGGAAAACTTTTTTCGATTCAAGATTTCATAAAAGAGCAAAGTACAACTAAAGACCGTATAATAATTATAATTTATATTGGGAACTCACAATTTTGTTTTAAAGTAGTTTATTAAATTTTGTAATTATTACTTATAATAACTCTTTAAAGAGTTTGATTTTCTAAAAAGTATTTACATTTATTTCTAAAATAAGGAATTTATAAGAAAATAATTATTAAAAACTTTTTTTTAACAATAAACAGTTTCTTATTGATACACCCGAATATTTAGAGTATAAGGTAGTAAATCGGTTTCACCAAAACCGATTGAATTATCCCGCATGCACTAATTTGAACTTTAGTTAATGCGAAAGCGTTTCTTTTTGATTATGTAAGTCATTATATTGTATAAATGCACGCCAGAAAACTCAGCTAGTTTCTGTGAAGATACCAGTCAACCAGGATGTTGGTTGTGTGGATCGTAGCTATATTCCTTTTGTGCCAACATGGCAATGCTGAAAAAATGCCAAACTATCTATGCGTGCCTCCATATGAGGACATTGATGGTGGCTGCAGGATCTCTACTACCAGAAAACCGATAATATTGGTAAGCACAAACAGATATATTACTGCTCAACATTTAGTCGATATTAGAATTATGCCACCTCAACAAATTTATAAACCTTGTTTAATTCTTATTAGCCATGTATGGGGCTCACGACCCCGCAACCCGGTGGTATTATTGGCAACAACCAATGGAATGAAACTAAAAGTTCGAATTCTACAGAATCTTCTTTTACAGAAACGGTAAGAAATTCATTTTTTTAACAGCCGATGTAACTTATATCTATAAACATTTTTAATAGAATCAAACAAAAACTAACGTTTTTAATTCGTCGTATATATCGTATATAAGCTTATCTTTTCAAACAAAAGTGGAATCAATTTTGTTAGCCGAACAACATAAATTAAAATACTTATTATTCAGATTTGTCTATCAGATACCCGGAATACCTTCGGTAAGTCCACTAATAATAAAAATGAATGAGCTCGTTCTTAAAGGTATTAGTTATTTTGCTTATTATATAAATTCAGAAATCTGGAAGCTTTTCGATAGTACAAATTTTACCAAGTGAATTCCAGAGTGGTCAAATTAATCCACCCGGAGTAAGTATTGTTTAGTTTCGTAAGATATATTCTATTTATTTTTTTTTGTAGAACTCCCAAAATCCTTCAACGGATCAATTAATACCATCAGTAAGAATAGTCCTGGCTTATGTTTTGATATATTATAAAATGTTGTATTTCAGAAAATATTGCTAGACATCAAAAATTTTATTGCAACTCTGCTGGTAAGTGCAGTAAGACGGAGATAGGATTCTAAAAAAGTTTTAGATCTTAAAATAAAAAAAATTAGAAGCTTGTTAAAATCATCCTGAGAGAATAAGCTAACATTGTTTTCTTAAATAGCCTGCTCCCCTTCAATTATTTCTCCCGGACAAATATAAAAATGTTCTAACGGAAGGCTTACCTGGCCAGCCCGAAGTAAGAATTACCCATTTTTTTTACATATATACCACTAAGTGTTGTATTTCAGATGTCCAGAATTCCCAAATCTTATATACCAATACCCGAAGTAAGAATTAACTAATATTTTAAGAAATCGAATACTTAATATTGATTTTAAGCTTCCCGGATTGTATTGGAATCCAATAATCGAACGAGTCCGAGTGACTGATCAAACAAAACCCCCAACGGCTGAAGTAAGGAAAATTCCGATTCTTTGGACTTTATTTCTCATGTATTTTTTCGACTTGTATTTCAGATAGTTGAAATTCCGTTAATGAAAATATCAATACTTGAGGTAAGGATTACCTAGTCTCTACAGATAAATGTTAATAAATATTTGTTTTTAGATACGCGGATACTATTGGATACTGAAACTTGCATTGGAAACCGTAGCTGGTCAAAAACCTGGAGTAAGGATAAGCAAGTCTTCTAAGATATATACTATTAATTTTTGTATTTCAGGCATCCGGAAATACGGAGGTAACAAAACCACCTCCCACATCGCCGCCCAAAGTAAACATTACCCAGATTCTTAAATATACTCGTATACTAACTTGTTTTTTATTTTAGAAAACTAAAATTCCTCTGTTGAATTATATAAGACTAGAAGTAAGAACAGAAACATTTGTTTAGATATAATTAAAAATTAATGAAAATTAAACAGATACCAGGAATTAAATGGATACCGATCGTTGAACCTTCAAATAATTCGACTGGTTCAAACGTACCAAGAGTAAGAATAACATATTTTGTTGAGATACATTTAATTAAATTTTTTCCAGGAAAGTGGAATTTATTGGATTCCAATCGTTGTCCCATCGGCAGGGTTGACTGGACAACAACAACCATCTCAAATTGAATTGCCCGGTGTATGTATTTACCAATTTACTAATTTTCTATATTACTTAGTTTTAAATTTCAGAAATATGCTATTCCTCTATTGGATCAATCAATAAAAGAAGTAAGGTAACCACGTTTGTTCAGATACGTTTAATTAATAATTGCTTAACAGATATCCGGAATTCAATGGATACCGATCGTTGTACCACCACAAAATTCGCCTGATCGATTCGGAGTAAGGAACACCATATTTCTTATGTTGTATATTAACTTATTTTGTACTTTAGCCAAGTGGAATTATAAATCCATTAACACCACAAGTAAGGACTAAAAAATTTATTCAATAGTATTAGTTTTAAATATTTGATTTTAGACGCCTGGAACTTATTGGGTACCGATCATTGTTGTAAAGCCTGGGTTGACAAGCCAACCAAACATACCGTACATTTCATTTTCCTTGGTAAAGATTAGTCGACTTTGTAAGATTTATATTTATTGGTTTTGAATTTCAGAAAACTGGAGTTTCTTGGATGAGTCAATCTACACCGAAAGTATGTTGTAGATGTACATAGTTTGATGGGAATTATCTTATTAAATTTGGTTTTCAGAGACCTGGAATTTATTGGATACCCATCACCATACCAACGTCTTCCGGAGTAAGAAAAATCCAGTTTTGTAAGAATCATTCTAAGAGAAATATTGTTTTTTTAGATATCCGGAGTTTATTGGATACCGATCATTGTTGCACTAATAGGGTGGGATGGTCGACCAATCCTACCCGCCATTTCATTGCCTGTAGTTAAGATTTGCATGTTTTATAGGGTATATATTAATTGGTTTTGTCTTACAGTCACCCAATATTCCTGCGAAGAATCAATGGACACCGGAAGTAAGGACTACAAAATGTGTGCATATATGTATGAAGGTATTTAATTGAAGTTTTTTTTTTCAGAATTTCGGATTTTACCGGTTACCGTTTATTGTTCCACCTAACGTTGCTTCTCCCAGCGTAAGGATTATTTGGTTAATTAAGATATATATCTTAATTAGTTTTATCTTTCAGGTACCCACAATTTATTGGCTAAATATACTACCGGGAGGCGTGATTGATCTACCAAGTTTACCCAAAGTAAAGATTGACAAGTTTTGTAGGAATTCTCTAATATGGCTTTTGTTTCAGATACCCGAAGTTTCTCACGTCAACAAAACAATACCCCCGGTAATGATTACATATTTTATTCTGATTCCTGGTATTACATTTAGTTTTTCAGGTACCTGCACCGGGGACCATAAATCCACCGCCAAGTTCTGGTAGACCTGAAATTCCTTCACCCGGAGTTACTTATCCACCGGGCGTGACTGAAGGACCAATTCTACCGAATGTTACTTCACCCGGTGTAAAGATTGTCAAGTTAAATAGGAATAAGTAAATTAATTAGTTTTGCATTTTAGAAAACTGGAGTCCCTCTGATAAATCATTTAATCCCAGAAGTAAGGGCAGCAACATATTTTTAGATATATTACCATTACCATTAATAATTAACAGATACCCGGAATTAAATGGCTACCGCTCGTTGACCTATTGTATAATTCTTCAAATGTACCAAGAGTAAGAACTGCATATTTTGTTCAGATGCATTTAAATAAATTTTATTTTTCAGAAGATTGGAATTTATTGGATACCATCGGGAGTGTTGGCTGGGCAAGAACAACCAAGTATTATTGATTTGACCCAAGTCTGTATTTCCCAACTCTTTGAGATGTTTATAATACTTAGATTTTACTTTCAGATAAACGCAATTCCTCTAGTGGATCAATCAGTAAAAAAAGTAATAAAAAGCACGTTTATTCAGATATGTTTAACTAATAATTGCTTTACAGATATCCGGAATTCAATGGATACCGATCGTTTTTCCTGGTCAATCCGGAGTAAATAATACTAGATTTCTTAAGTTATATATAAACTTGTTTTGTATTTTAGACAAATGGATTTCCTTCGACAAATAATTTAACACCACAAGTAAGGACTAAAAAGGTTATTCAACAATATTCTGTTCAATATTTTTTTTTAGACGCCTGGAACTTATTGGTTTCCGATCATTGTTCTGGAGAGAGGGTCGACTAGCCAACCAAACCTACCTTACATTTCATTGTCCTTCGTAGGGATTAGTCTGCTTTGTAAGTTATATATTAATTGGCTCTGTATTTCAGACAAGTGGGACTGCCAGGTTGAGTGACTCTTCACCGAATGTATGTAGAACACTAAGTTTGTTCGGATATATTTTATTAAATTTGGTTTTTAGACACCCGGAATTTATTGGATACCCATCATCGCACCAACGTCTTCCGGAGTAAGAATAAGAATAATTTTTTGAGATTTACACTAAAAAAATTATTGTGTTTTAGATCGCCGGAATTTATTGGATACCGATCATTGTTGCACTGAGAGGTTTGGATGGTCAACTAATCCTGCCTGACATTTCATTGCCTGTAGTAAAGATTCGCCTGCTTTATAGGATATTTATTAATTGGTTTTGTATTACAGTCACCCGATATTTCTGGGGGGAATCAGTGGACACCGGAAGTAAGGACTATAAAATGTGTGCATATATATTTAATAAAAGTTTTTTCAGATACCCGGATCTTATCAGGTACCGTTTGTCGTTCCACCATCCGACTTCTCTCGCCAGGTAAGGATTACTAAGTTAAATGTGAAATGTGTGGTTATAAGTTTTTGTCTTTTAGATACCCACAGTTCGTTGGCTAAATATACTACCGGGAGGTGTGATTCATCTACCAGATCTACCTAATCTTCCTTCAGCCAAAGTAAAGAAATGCTAGTTTTGTAGAAACTATCTAACTTAGTGTTTCTTTCAGATACCCGGTATTCCTCCGTTCAATATAACAATACCCGATGTAAGGATTACATATTTTTTCTGATTTATTGTATTGCATATTGTTTCTCAGGGACCCGGTATTCCTGCACCACCTCCTAGTCCTACTGGACCAGAAGTTCCTACACCACCGGGAGGCGTAGTTAATCCTCCAATACCACCTACTATTTCTCCATCCGAAGTAAGGAGTCACAAGTTTAATAGGAATTTATAATTTAACTAGTTTTGTATTTTAGAAAATTTTAGTTCCTCTTTTGAATTATTCAAAACCAGAAGTAAGGAAAGCAACACATGTTTAAATATATTGAATTAACACTAATAATCAAACAGATACCCGGAATTAAATGGATACCACTCGTTAATTCGACAGATCAATCCGTACCAACAGTAAGTATCGCATATTTTATTCAGATATATTAATATTAAATTTTGTTATACAGAAAATGGGAATTTATTGGATACCAACCCTTGTACCATTGGGAGGGTTGACTGGACAACAGCAACCATCTCAAATTCATTTGCCCGGTGTATGTATTTCCAAATGTTTAAAATATTTATATTACTTAGTTTAAAATTTCAGAAAATCGCAATTCCTCTAGTGAATCAATCAGTTAAAAAAGTAAGGTAACCACGTTTATTCAGATACGTTTAACTAATAATTGCTTAACAGATATCCGGAATTCAATGGATACCCCTTGTGCCAACACGAAACTCGGCTGATCAATTCGGAGTAAGGAATACCATATTTCTTAAGCTGTGTATTAACTTATTTTGTACTTTAGCCAAATAGAATTATAAATCCAATAACACCACAAGTAAGGACTAAAATATTCATTCAATAGTTTTTTTTTAAATATTTTATTTTAGACGCCTGGAACTTATTGGGTACCGATCATTGTTGTACAGAGTGGCTTGACTAGCCAACCAAACATACCTTACATTTCATTGTCCTTGGTAAAAATAAGTCTGTTTTGTAAGATATAGAATATATTTGTTGGTTTTGTATTTCAGACAAGTGGAGTTTCTTGGATGAGTCAATCTGCTCCGAATGTATGTAGTAGACATGGTTTGTTGGGCATTGTCTTATTAATTTTGGTTTTCAGAAAGCCGGAATTTATTGGATACCCATCATCGCACCGACGTCTTCCGGAGTAAGAATAATCCAGATTTATAAGTTTTATACTAAGATTTGTTTTTTAGATCGCCGGAACTTATTGGATTCCGATTATTGTTGCACTGAGAGGGTTGGATGGTCAACTAATCCTTCCTGACATTTCATTGCCTGTAGTAAAGATTTGCATGTTTAATGGGATATACATTAATTGGTTTTTTATTACAGTCACTCGATATTTCTGGGGGGAATCAGTGGACACCAGAAGTAAGGACTACAAAATGTGTGCATATATATTTCATTAAAGTTTTTTCAGAAACCCGGACTTTACCGGTTCCCGTTTATTGTTCCACCTAATTTTGCTTCCCCCAGCGTAAGGATTATTTAGTTAAATAAGATAGATAACTTAATTAGTTTTATCTTTCAGGTACCCACAATTTATTGGCTAAATATACTACCGGGAGGCGTGATTGATCTACCAAGTTTACCCAAAGTAAAGATTGACAAGTTTTGTAGGAATTCTCTAATATGGCTTTTGTTTCAGATACCCGAAGTTCCTCACGTCAACATAACAAAACCCCCGGTAATGATTACATATTTTATTCTGATTCCTTGTATTACATTTAGTTTTTCAGGTACCTGCACCGGGGACCATAAATCCACCGCCAAGTTCTGGTAGACCTGAAATTCCTTCACCCGGAGTTACTTATCCACCGGGCGTGACTGAAGGACCAATTCTACCGAATGTTACTTCACCCGGTGTAAAGATTGTCAAGTTAAATAGGAATAAGTAAATTAATTAGTTTTGCATTTTAGAAAACTGGAGTCCCTCTGATAAATCATTTAATCCCAGAAGTAAGGGCAGCAACATATTTTTAGATATATTACCATTACCATTAATAATTAACAGATACCCGGAATTAAATGGCTACCGCTCGTTGACCTATTGTATAATTCTTCAAATGTACCAAGAGTAAGAACTGCATATTTTGTTCAGATGCATTTAAATAAATTTTATTTTTCAGAAGATTGGAATTTATTGGATACCATCGGGAGTGTTGGCTGGGCAAGAACAACCAAGTATTATTGATTTGACCCAAGTCTGTATATCCCAACTCTTTGAGATGTTTATAATACTTAGATTTTACTTTCAGATAAACGCAATTCCTCTAGTGGATCAATCAGTAAAAAAAGTAATAAAAAGCACGTTTATTCAGATATGTTTAACTAATAATTGCTTTACAGATATCCGGAATTCAATGGATACCGATCGTTTTTCCTGGTCAATCCGGAGTAAATAATACTAGATTTCTTAAGTTATATATAAACTTGTTTTGTATTTTAGACAAATGGATTTCCTTCGACAAATAATTTAACACCACAAGTAAGGACTAAAAAGGTTATTCAACAATATTCTGTTCAATATTTTTTTTTAGACGCCTGGAACTTATTGGTTTCCGATCATTGTTCTGGAGAAAGGGGCGACTAGCCAACCAAACCTACCTTACATTTCATTGTCCTTCGTAGGGATTAGTCTGCTTTGTAAGTTATATATTAATTGGCTCTGTATTTCAGACAAGTGGGACTGCCAGGTTGAGTGACTCTTCACCGAATGTATGTAGAACACTAAGTTTGTTCGGATATATTTTATTAAATTTGGTTTTTAGACACCCGGAATTTATTGGATACCCATCATCGCACCAACGTCTTCCGGAGTAAGAATAAGAATAATTTTTTGAGATTTACACTAAAAAAATTATTGTGTTTTAGATCGCCGGAATTTATTGGATACCGATCATTGTTGCACTGAGAGGGTTGGATGGTCAACTAATCCTGCCTGACATTTCATTGCCTGTAGTAAAGATTCGCCTGCTTTATAGGATATTTATTAATTGGTTTTGTATTACAGTCACCCGATATTTCTGGGGGGAATCAGTGGACACCGGAAGTAAGGACTATAAAATGTGTGCATATATATTTAATAAAAGTTTTTTCAGGTACCCGGATCTTATCAGGTACCGTTTGTCGTTCCACCATCCGACTTCTCTCGCCAGGTAAGGATTACTAAGTTAAATGTGAAATGTGTGGTTATAAGTTTTTGTCTTTTAGATACCCACAGTTCGTTGGCTAAATATACTACCGGGAGGGGTGATTCATCTACCAGATCTACCTAATCTTCCTTCAGCCAAAGTAAAGAAATGCTAGTTTTGTAGAAACTATCTAACTTAGTGTTTCTTTCAGATACCCGGTATTCCTCCGTTCAATATAACAATACCCGATGTAAGGATTACATATTTTTTCTGATTTATTGTATTGCATATTGTTTCTCAGGGACCCGGTATTCCTGCACCACCTCCTAGTCCTACTGGACCAGAAGTTCCTACACCACCGGGAGGCGTAGTTAATCCTCCAATACCACCTACTATTCCTCCATCCGAAGTAAGGAGTCACAAGTTTAATAGGAATTTATAATTTAACTAGTTTTGTATTTTAGAAAATTTTAGTTCCTCTTTTGAATTATTCAAAACCAGAAGTAAGGAAAGCAACACATGTTTAAATATATTGAATTAACACTAATAATCAAACAGATACCCGGAATTAAATGGATACCACTCGTTAATTCGACAGATCAATCCGTACCAACAGTAAGTATCGCATATTTTATTCAGATATATTAATATTAAATTTTGTTATACAGAAAATGGGAATTTATTGGATACCAACCCTTGTACCATTGGGAGGGTTGACTGGACAACAGCAACCATCTCAAATTCATTTGCCCGGTGTATGTATTTCCAAATGTTTAAAATATTTATATTACTTAGTTTAAAATTTCAGAAAATCGCAATTCCTCTAGTGAATCAATCAGTTAAAAAAGTAAGGTAACCACGTTTATTCAGATACGTTTAACTAATAATTGCTTAACAGATATCCGAATTCAATGGATACCCCTTGTGCCAACACGAAACTCGGCTGATCAATTCGGAGTAAGGAATACCATATTTCTTAAGCTGTGTATTAACTTATTTTGTACTTTAGCCAAATAGAATTATAAATCCAATAACACCACAAGTAAGGACTAAAATATTCATTCAATAGTTTTTTTTTAAATATTTTATTTTAGACGCCTGGAACTTATTGGGTACCGATCATTGTTGTACAGAGTGGCTTGACTAGCCAACCAAACATACCTTACATTTCATTGTCCTTGGTAAAAATAAGTCTGTTTTGTAAGATATAGAATATATTTGTTGGTTTTGTATTTCAGACAAGTGGAGTTTCTTGGATGAGTCAATCTGCTCCGAATGTATGTAGTAGACATGGTTTGTTGGGCATTGTCTTATTAATTTTGGTTTTCAGAAAGCCGGAATTTATTGGATACCCATCATCGCACCGACGTCTTCCGGAGTAAGAATAATCCAGATTTATAAGTTTTATACTAAGATTTGTTTTTTAGATCGCCGGAACTTATTGGATTCCGATTATTGTTGCACTGAGAGGGTTGGATGGTCAACTAATCCTTCCTGACATTTCATTGCCTGTAGTAAAGATTTGCATGTTTAATGGGATATACATTAATTGGTTTTTTATTACAGTCACTCGATATTTCTGGGGGGAATCAGTGGACACCAGAAGTAAGGACTACAAAATGTGTGCATATATATTTCATTAAAGTTTTTTCAGAAACCCGGACTTTACAGGTTCCCGTTTATTGTTCCACCTAACTTTGCTTCCCCCAGCGTAAGGATTATTTAGTTAAATAAGATAGATAACTTAATTAGTTTTATCTTTCAGGTACCCACAATTTATTGGCTAAATATACAACCGGATGGCGTGATTAATCTGCCAACTATACCCAATATTCTACCACCCAAAGTAAAGATTGACAAGTTTTGTAAGAATTCTCTAATATGGCTTTTGTTTCAGATACCCGAAGTTCCTCACTTCAACATAACAATACCCCCAATTACTTTACCTTTACTACCTAATATTACTGTACCCGAAGTAAGGATTGCCAAGTTTAATAGAAACTATCTAACTTTGTTTTTTTGTAGGTACCCATAGTTCCACAGTTGAATATTACCATACCCCCGGTAAGGACAGCATATTTTGTTCAGACTCTTTTTAATACATATTGTTTTTCAGGCACCCGTTATTCCTCCAATAAAACTACCTAAAGTAAGGATAATCTATTTAGTTGTAAATTGTAAGATGTAATTTATTTTGTTTTGTATTTGAGGTTCCTGACGCAGAATCATTGATTAAGGATATTTTAAATGGAATTAATCTCGGGGTAAGCTTCATTACATTAAAAAAAATTTTTAATTACTTTACCTTTACTACCTAATATTACTGTACCCGAAGTAAGGATTGCCAAGTTTAATAGAAACTATCTAACTTTGTTTTTTTGTAGGGACCCAGAGTTCCACAGTTGAATATTACCATACCCCCGGTAAGGATAGCATATTTTGTTCAGACTCTTTTTAATACATATTCTTTTTCAGGCACCCGTTATTCCTCCAATAAAACTACCCCAAGGTCCACCACCTCCACCAAAACCACCCAAAGTAAGGATAATCTAGTTAGTTGTTAATTGTAACATGTGATTTATTTTGGTTTGTATTTCAGGTTCCTGACGCAGATACATTGATTAAGGAAATATTGGGTGGCATTAATCTCGGGGTAAGCTTTATTACATTAAAATTTTTTATTAGTTTATTATAAAACTGATTATTTTAAATAGGATTTAACTCCACCAAGAATTCAAGTATGCATTGTTGCTCTTTTTGTAAAATGCGCCTATTATGTTGAAAGTGTTTTTTTTCAGTTACCTGGGATAAAGGTTCCCAAAATAATCAAGCATATAGCATATTTTCTTCAGACTCTTTTTAATACTTATTGTTTTCCAGGCACCCGTTATTCCTCCAATAAAACTACCCCAAGGTCCACCACCTCCACCAAAAGCACCAAAACCACCTAAAGTAAGGACAATCTAGTTAGTTGTTAATTGTAAGATGTGATTTATTTTGGTTTGTGTTTCAGGTTCCTGACGCAGATACATTGATTAAGGAAATTTTGGGTGGCATTAATCTCGGGGTAAGCTTTATTACATTAAAAATGTTTATTAGTTTATTATAAAACTGATTATTTTAAATAGGATTTAACTCCACCAAGAATTCAAGTATGTATTGTTGCTCTTTTTGTAAAATACGCCTACTATGTTGAAAGTGTTTCTTTTCAGTTTCCTGGGATAAAGGTTCCCAAAATAACTAACCCAAAAATACCAAATCCAAAAGTTCCCAAAATATCCTATCCAAAAAATCCGAAGATCTTCAGGACAGAAGACTTTTATACCAAAGAATTTAATGTAAACGACTATTTACATTTGCTTGATACTTAACAACCAACATTTCATTTCAAACAAAAAATATTGAGTTTTCCCCAACACTCCGCGGATTCAAAAAGATATTGGAATAAATCGACATATAAAAATTTCCTATCTTCAAAAACACCAAGCGGATGTCCTAAATATCTCCAGAGAAAACTTAAATGAATAAATAAATGTAGGGGAAAAATAAATAAGTATTGTTTCACTTTTTTTTGGTTCCCTCGGTAATAATTATTATGTGCTTTTCTCTGATGTGGTTGGGTCATGCAAATTCATATTTTAATTTTATGCAAATTATACGCTGATTATGCTGTCAGCATCACTAGAGGTACCGCACATTTTATACTGAATCTACATGAACATGTACAACACAATCTCATTCCGATTTCATTTTCCTGGCCGCCTTTGTTGTTGTCGCTGTGGTTGTTGCTTAATCATTTCAAATTTTATATGGTAATTGTTGTTCGGCTGCCTTTGGCATGCAAATGTTTGCCCGATTGCATGTTGACCATTTGTTGTTTGCAAAACAGTTGCCATTGTGATTGGTAGTCCTCTTAAGCCCCCTTATTTCCCCACTAGCCACAAGTCCATTGAATTGATTGCTTTCGGTTTATAATGGGTTTGGCAAGCGACTTTGCGGGATAATAATTTCAACTTGCGGAAATGCTATAAAAGTTTCGATTTAAATAATTATCTGGCTGTAATGAAAAAGTTAGGCTTTACGTTAGAGAGAGAAGAATTTCTTAAAATGTGTAGCAAATTTAATATATTCATATACATTCTATGTGTCGGTAATGTCTCTTTAACAGTGTACAAACTATTTCACTATGGGGACAGAAATTCAATTCCCCTATTAATACAAACTTAAATGAAGCTCCATACAGGGGCCGTCATTATCAGGACATGGCAGCAGCGGCAGGAACAGCAGAAGCAGCAGGAATAGCAGCAGGTCCTGCCACATCCGACAAATGCAATGCGGGAAGCGGCGACAACAACATCGACTTGTACAACATTTCGCAGCGGCATAGTCAAAATATCTAACGTACAACAGCTGGAAGACAAAGCAAAGGCGACCAAATCAACGGCAACGGATGCGAGAATGTTTATGCCCATTATGAACAAGCATCGGTTGCGTGTGGGCACTGAAAGAAAACTAGGTTAAATTTAATAAAACATAAAAAAATATAAATTTACATAAACATTAAGATTAGAATTTCATCTGAATAAGATCTGATTACAACAAAGATCAAATGGAGTGGTATTAAAAAATAATTTAATTAATATTCATCATTTTGTAAAAAAAAGAAAATGTATTAATATCAGATTATTTAAGATAACCATTAAGCATTTATTAAGTAAATCGCGGAATGCTTATGAGTTTCTTGTGTTTATAATAATTCTTATTGAGATAACTGGAAGATTTTTTTCCGTGTACAAGGAGTTATGGGTGTATTTTGGGTTAGCATCTGTGGGTGGATTCAAAAGGGGTGTATGTGGGTGCCAGGCATTCACAAACCCATCACATAAACGTTTTGTGCATTGCAAATCTGTTTGCCGCAGGAGCCGACCTAGTTGAAATCCTTCCAAATTATGCACGAAAATTATGTGTGCGAAAGCGAAAATTTCCGCAGACAAACTGGCATTGCGAATATTGCGCATACGACATGTGTTTGGCATATTTAAATGGGGCACATGTCGAGTTATTGAAAGGGGCGACGACCAGGATGTGCATTGTCATTAGCCCAATTCGCTGATGGCTTTAAGTGCATCTTCCTTGGCGATTCAATTGTTCGCAATCATTTATCAAATGAGTTTTCATAAAATGTCACGCAATGCAATTTCTGCTGCTGCTGCTTCTGGGAATCCAGCGAAATAAATGATGCCAGCTTGCATTCCAGTTTTAGTGTCATAAGTAAATCCCAGCGGGATAGAAAAATGACTGTGAACTGACGGGGGCAAAGTTAAAGTTGCCATCATATAGACTGCTCTCCCTGGCATTATTACATTGTTGCATAAGACAGGAAGAGAGAAATGCGTTTGTGTGTCCTGCAGCCAATAAGTTGCCAGCAGCCGTTGCCATTGCAGCAAATATCCTTTCTGGCTGCCTGACATTTATGTGCGAGCATGTGTGTGTGTGCCAGTGTGTGAACACTCGCTGCAGTAACAACTTAAAGCTTTTAATAAAAATGTCAAGCTCATTGAAGTGCATTGAGGGACGAGGCGGCAGCCAAAAGTGTGTGTCACTGCAGCTAAGAAAGGTCGCGAGTTCTGAATGGTTAAGTATCTATTGAGATGTTCTTATCAGCACATACGTAAAAGCACCATCTCCGATTATCTACTAATCGTTAAAATGTTTAATAATAAATATTAAATCAGAAAAACGGAAAAAAAGGTATTTAAAAAGGATTTAATTACGATTAATTGCAAGTTTTACTTTAAGTTATTTCGAGGGCAGAGTAAAAATATTTATAAAATATATATAATTGATTTATAAATACATCAAATTAAATACAATTACCAAATTAATAAAAATGTGTCTTGTCGAATTATGTTTTCTTTTTATTCCATATGCTAATATTATTAAATTTTTAAAACCCTAAGTTTGACCTCCTTGCTTAAAGAAGCTTTGTTGGACATGTGTCAAATATGTGTTACCAAATCAAGCTGCACGTCGCATGTGCCCGCTTTTGTTTCACACGACTAGTTCTCGTTTGATTGTTGGCTAACCAGCTGGCCTTAACCCCCCATCCTTCCCCCTTGCACCGTGTTTGGCCCCCTTAACCCATTCTATTAGCAGGAAAAGGTTCGGAGCGCAGTCAGCTGAAAAGAGGTATGCAAACGTGTTTTCCTTGACTCCTGCAGATGGCTGACAGGATGCTGGACCCTCTGCAGCAGCTCGGCTGACAATTTTATTGACAGCCCGGCATTTAGATTGATTGCAGTTGCAGTTGCGCAATTCCGAACGATAACAATACGTGGTGCAATTTCCCCCCATTTTGGCTCCCTTTTCTATCCTTTAATTAAAAGTTTGTCCAAATATTGTTTACTTTGGCTAAAGAAAGCATTGGAGAATGTTAAGAATATCTTGGTATGCTATTTTCTTTACTTTTTGGTTACTTTCTCCTTGCCTTTCTGTACGTTTTGTTATCTTCTTTTTTATTCCGTCAGGCAATCGTGCAAAACTATTTCAATTTGGCAACACCGAAGGATAGGTTTTAAGCTATGCAAAAGTTTTGCGTTTATTAAGGAATCCTTACCTTTGAAAATAAAAAGAAAATATTACATTCTCTTAATGAATTTTGTGTTATTTGTAGGTGTTTTTTGTTTGATATTCAATGTGTCATGTGTATGAAAAAGTACTTTAAAATTCAAAGTCAACTTGCTTTCAAAAAGAATTTAATGGAATGATTTGGTTAAAATTGCAAGATATGTATTGGAATACTCATAGTTCTAATTTTTTGTTACGCATAAAACGCATTAAACCAACATAAAATCCTTCTGCCAACAGTTAATACAAATAGGCATTAGGTGTTTAAGCTGCATTTAATCGATATCCCTTGCTCTTTTGATTAGAAATTCCGACTTGTCAGCGACTTACTTAGGCATCAACTCATCAATTCTCAGATAGACTCACAGATACATTTTCCGGCTAACAACACACAAGCCTGTTGACAATTGGAAATTGTTCTTCTGCCCCCACTCTCTCTATTTTCCACACACACACACACAGACATGGGGAAACGTATATCCTTTCACTCGAACTCAGTGTGGCTGTAAATTATGCATACAAATTAGAAACTACCGTCGTATGGGATGACGTAAACACAGAAATGTTGAATAATAACGTTAATGAAAACAATGCAAGGACAGACAATGAGGAAGGAGCTGGCGAGTGGAGAGAGTGGAGAATGGAGAGTGGAGAGTCGAAGGGGGCTGGGAAAAGGACAAACAGCTGCAGGAAGCAAAAGCAAGCAGAAAATTAAACAGAACAAAGCAGTAGTAAAGCAGATGGCGACAAGATAAACACATACACTCCATCCATCTACTCATACATCTACTCTGCCATTTATACACTTGAAGAAAAAATTGACAAACAATTTATACAATTAATTGAACTAATATATTTTAACACGCGAAACGAAATAACTAAAATCTATGGATGTATGGTATTATTGTTTAACTTTAAATATTAATATTTAAATGTTAGCTCTGAAATATTTTGGTAAAATTTTTTCAAAATTGTCAAGCTGTTATATATTTCCCTTTGCTTCTGTGTACTTGCAAGTTTTGCAACAATCACAGTGAGCGCTAAAAGAAAACAAACAGCACTGCAAGCCCTATAAATTTAATACCCTGATGCTGACGCTTAGCAACGTCACATTAAAAACAAAGATCTGAATAGAAAAAAGGACAAAATCCCATCAGCTTTGATATGTCTGTTAAGTAATATTTGCTAGGCAAGGAAAAAAAAATAAAATTCTGGCAGGAAAATCAGCAAAACAAGTGAAATGTATACATCTCCAGACAATCCAAAGTTTTAAAAACTGCATATGTATAGAAGAGATAAACTTTGGCAAGCAAAAAGGGATATGTTTCTAAAGCATTTCGTGTGTCTGTGATTATTTTTGCATGCTAACTAATTCCCCCTTTTGTCTCGGTCCAAAGATACATATTTTGTAAACAGTTTTCTCTGTTGCCTGACAACAGAATTTTAGGTTTAGTAAAAGAAAAATACAGGTGTGTTGGCACAAGATTAAAGTTTATTTGGACATGAAAGAAAAAAAAAGCAACAGGGTATATACAAATACCAACTGGTTTGTTGAAAACTTTTTTTGGTAAATTGCTAGGAAAGAAATAAAAGACACGTAACTATATTACTGCTGAGAACTGAAAAGGGATTAGTAAATATACTAATTTGAATTGAAATCTATTCTATCTATTTAAATTCATTCTAAACTATCGTTCAGAAATTTAAAGTTTTTAGACTGAATTGTAAACGGTTTAAAACGCGTCTGAATACGTTTCTAACTCCACACCATTTAGAATCCTTTCTTCATAAGTCTTTCATTTTTGGCTCTGCGGTTAGCCGCATTTTCGACTGTCCCGCAAATGAGACACGAAATTCAGTCGCCCCTTAACCCATTAGTGGCCCCCACGACCATCCAATCAAAGTCACCTTCTGCGGCTCGTT